TCAGGTGCCACCCTCAGGTGCCACCCTCAGGTGCCACCCTCAGGTGCCACCCTCAGGTGCCACCCTCAGGTGCCACCCTCAGGTGCCACCCTCAGATGCCACCCTCTGTTACAGTCGCCATTACGATCCCTGATTCGGCCTCTGGTTCGGCCGTCGGTTCGGCCCTTGGTTCGGTCCTCGGGTCGGTCCTCGGTTCGGTCCTCTGTTCGGTCCCCGGTTCGGTCCCCGGTTTGGTCCCTGGTTCGATCCCCGGTTCGGTCCCCGGTTCGGTCCCCGGTTCGGTCCCCGGCGAGGCGCCTGTCGAGGCCGTTGGTTTTAGTCGCTTGACCCGCGCGCCGCCACCCCCATTCTCTCTGCTCCCCTTTTGCTGCGCTGCGCTGCGACGCGACACCCCGCGGGGACGGGGAAGAGTGAGCTGCGTGGGGCGCTAAAGGTCGGCGGCGCACACGCGCTGGTTGCCGACGCACCTACTCATCTGCGCGGCACAGGAGGCCCGGCCCCACGGCCCACTCAGCCCACCCACGACGGCACCTCGCCCACACGGTTCCCTCTGCGCTGCAGCAGCGCCCTGTAAGCCTGGCGATAAGCCCCTCCGCAGCACTCGCCGACGTCGCCACGCCCTCCCGCGCACGGCACGCGAACTTGTGCTCGCCTCCTCCTCGCCCGCCTCGAGGCCCACCTCATCCTCCCCGCCCCCGGCCCGGCCCGGGCCGCCGACAGTGCAAGAGAGTAATTCAGCCGGGGTTATTATTCTTGCGTTTATTCTTTGGCTCTGGGTGGCGGAGGGCCGCGCTGGCCGTGGGGGCGCCCGAGCCTCGGCGTTCCCGCTGCTGGCGGCCCTCGAGAACCCCGCGCGACTCACTCGGGCCCGGGCACTCCAGCCGCCGAGAACTTGCCCTGGTAGCCAGGGATCTGGGTGTTCCCTCCTTGGCTCGGGACGAGAATTACTCTGACACAATTCAGGATTCAGGTTTCGTCGGGGCATTTCGCCGAGCCTAAGTATACCCTTACGAAGGCCTTAAAGGTGGTCGAAAGCACTTCTCCGCCGGGATGAAGCTAACCGCCAACAGTTTCGCCAACAAGTTTGCAAATACTTGG